TTTTTTTTTTATGGAGATTGAATCCACCATGATCTCGAAGATCAAAATTTTCTTTGCAACTCGTTTCCCTTGAAACTCGCTGTAGGTTTTCTTTTTTCGCCATTCTACTGAACTTTTAAGTAAGTGAGTTTGAAGTAGTAGTTACGAAGAGGAAATTTCGATCTTCGAAACTACAGTGGATCTAATAATGAAAAACAATTGTTCAGAAATATGTCATGAACGTTTATTCACCGCTAAAAAAAAATTTCAAATTACTGAAATTATTTTCAGATTTCAACTGGATATTCTAGTCGTAGCATTAAATAAATGAAATTTTTCACAAATGTTTTAAAAACTTTCAGTGGATTAAAAAAAAGAAAAAAAAAATTGTATAAAACCGACGAATCGTGCGTTGTTCCTCATAATTCAAAATGTTTGCCGAAATTTGATCATATTTGCTCGTCTTCTCGACTAAAATAAAGAGGATTAATAAAAATATTATTTATCAGGGGATTTTACACATTTGTTTTAACTGAAACGTGCTTCACGAAGGTAAATTCATTTAAAGATTAAAACGCAACGTACTCAGTCTGTTGTTTCAATTTTTGCATTGATCATTTGTTTTCACGAGCAAACAGCGGAGTAATTGATTATTTCTTTGTACGTTTATCACTCGTACATGTACACGCTGGTGGATTTATCGTGATATATCGTAGGATAAAGCATCGCGTGTCACGTGCTCAATTAATTAACAAATATGTTCCATTGCACCATCTAAACATGCATAGATTATTGCTTCCAAATCTATGCAAATAACGTGAATTCACGTTTCTATTAACTGTATCAACAGTAATAATTAGACTGCGAATTTTTTACGTATTTATAGAAACATTTACTGCGTACTTGTTATGTAATTTGTTAAAAAAGCAAAAATACTCGTCATTGCGTATAAAAAAAAAAAAAAAAATGGCGTAACAATGTGAAAGATCACTCACTTGTTTCGTTCTTCTTTGAATCTGTCGTTATAATCCGAGTATTCGATGTGGTCGTTTTCGTTGTCGTCGTCTCTGCAACACAGTGAAGCAAAAATTGTTTATATACGTTTCATTCTTATTTACAAAGTAAACTAATTGAAGAGAATACACTTTTTACTTTTAATTCAAATATCTCCAATATACGCAGATGATTTAATTTTTAAACTTTATTTTTGGGAAGGATGTATGTTAATTTAACATACCAATTATATTGTTATGATCAATGTATTAATAATTGAAAGACAGACTTACTGCTGAGAATTTCGGTTGTATTTTCTTGCAGGCTACTTCTGTAAATTCGTCTTTTCGGCGAGCCAATATTTTCCCTGTAAACGGAAATACGAATTCACATCATTTGAAAGTTTTCAACTCGAATTGAATGAACACACATTTATTATGCATATCAGTTAATTTTGATTATTCCAAAGTATGAAAAGACGAGACTCGTCTCAATAAACATAAATAACTAATTTTAAGTTCGATCAATAAAATTAATAAATGTACCAAAATTGGAAAAGAATTTTGCCAGACAATAAATTATAATTACAATTACGCAGAATAATAATTCTTATATTTCAATTTGGATCGTTTTCTCTTTAATTCCACTGTTAATAAGTTCTCCGAATTCTAAGACCAATAAAATGTTATTGAATATTCATTACAACTGTGTGTTATGTAATTATGCTTTTCACTTGTCAAATTTGAAATACAAAACTTCTGAATATTGATTCATTCAAAATTAAACGATCAATTACGAGTAAAATTCATGGAAGGATGAGTTTTTAATTAAATGACAGTTAAATAATTACTGTAATAACGAGTGACATAGTATTTAAATGTTTTCTCGCGGTAATGTAATATCTAGAAATGAATCTTCTCATTGCATATCGTTACTTTCATACTTTGTAGTTACATACATAAGTACATACGTAAATTTAGTTAGTCAAATTAGTATATTTGCGAACAAATTTCGTTCGTTAATAAACATCGGGGAGGCAGATGAATATGTAAAACGACTTACTGATTCAAACCGAGCTTCAAGTGTTCGCCAGCGTTTCGTAAGAGTGCATGTGCGTCGCTGTTCGTTAAATCCCGGGTAGTTCTTCCATTTATACTACTAATTAAATCACCCTCTCTCACCCCCTGTTGAGCCGCTTTGCTGCCTGGATTAACCTGCAACGAAAATTCAAATTTTTACCTCAATTAGAATGAAATTTGCGAGCCGTGTGTTTCGTGCACTTCGATTCACTTCTTAATTTGTATAAGACTTTTCACTTTTTTTTTTTTTTCTTTTCTTTAGAAAAATTATCGTTACAGACCAGAGTTAAGGAAAGCTACAGTACGTGTCTTGCATCAGAGAAATGTAACACAAAATTGGAAACAGTTTCTAAGAAAAGAGCGTAAGGTTTTATTTGTCACGTTCGACGAAATCTTTACAAATTCAAAAATTTATATATTTAGTAATAAATGGACTGTGGATGTTTATGCAATTAAATGTTGCAATAAATACTCTATTTTATATACTTTTATATGAATTATTTTTTATATGAATTATTATTTTATAAATTCTTGAAATCTTAAATTTCCCAAAAATGTATTAACAGTTAATTTTAGTTAATTTTAATAAAGCTTTTGGACAGACTATTTATACATTTATTTTTGTAAATAATGTAGATAAAAATAATAAGATAAATTCTAAAAAATTTTGAGACTCAAACAAAGACAGTTTTGTCTCTGTGAGAATTATTGTTAAAACAAATGACAAATGTGGATCAAAAGCACCTTCATAATGGACATAAAAAACAAGTAATATATCATCTCATCTAGACATCAAGCGTATACATCAAACATTTTCCATTGATAAGTTAAGTTATTACCCTATATTTAATAAGTTAATCAATCATTGTCATTTTGCTAATATTATTTTATAACATTACATTATTTTCTTTATACATACACATATAGTTATATACATTTTACCATACACAGTACAGTGGATCTTTTATATAAATTACATTACATTACAAGTTATTATATTATCATATCTTTGTACTCGATACGTCGCATTTATTTTTACACTCTCAAGTTTTCCCTAATATAATATAATATAAAATCCGTAGTCCACTGAATGAAGTTAAAAATGTTTCACATATATTTACAGAAAGTTCTTATAGCGAGCTAACTTAATTTCACAAGTCAATCTCCACGCTGTCGAGTCGTATTCTTCATATTCTCGAAGATATGTCTGTGAAAAAGAAAAGTTGCGAAGAGGGAACGCGTGCAACGATGAACAACATGAAAGATGAACCGAGTCCGTCGAAATTTACTCATTAAACTTTAGTCTGGCCGCTTAAGATTCTCACCGTGTAGCTGCACTTTCGTTGTCCCGACGCTCGAAACTTCAGCATGTTGGAACTTCCTTCACGTTCCCGGGGCCTGTCGATATGTCAATAAGAACAACACAACGAGGATCGTAACAAGCAATTCCCAGCTTCGCCTCCTACTTTTTCTCTTTCGCCGAGCTAAGTTTCAGCGAACGTTAATTAAAAAAAAGGTGAAGATAGTCTCGAGACTACGACTACACATATCACTGAAGTAGAAATATTTCAATTTGATAGCTGTCGAGTTGTCCAAAATTTTTTTTTCATTATTGAAATCAACTGTATCATTGTAATATTATAAATTAAGAGATACTTAACTTAACAATAACTCGCAAGCAAACTGCGAATTTTCTATAAATATGTAATTATTATTTTTAATTTAGATTATTTATGAAAGATTTGTATCTAAATGACTTATTCTTTTTAAGTTTAGCCAATCTTCACTAGAATGGCTTAATAATTATCCTCCATTTAATCATACAATAAATGAAATTCCAATCGTTTTTATTAATAAAATTAAAAATATTTTCAATACTTAATTTAATTTAACATGGCAGAATAGTGCTTTGAATTTAAGATTCAAGAATAAAATTAAAATTTTTGTTAAAAATTTCAACATGAAATATATATATATATATATTTCAAGATTCAAACTCATTCTATCCAGATAATTTAATTTCTTTTCATAACTTCGTAATAATATTTATCATTATAATTACTTCATTGACACTATTTTATATTGACTTTATAACAAATAGATTTACTCAAAAATCATACAGTCGAGATTGTCTGGACTGTTATACCTATAATAATTCTTTTGACTATTTGCTACCCGTCTCTGAAAATTCTATACTTTATTGATGAAATAATAAATCCTTATTTTTCAATTAAAGCTATCGGACGTCAATGATATTGATCTTATGAATATCCTGAGTTCAGTAACTATAAAATTAACAGTTATATAAAAGATCAGCTAGATATTAATAGATAAATTTCGTCTTTTAGAAACCGATAATCCTATCTAGAATCCGATATCCTATAAATATGTAAAATACAAGTTCTCCAATTTCTCTTAAATCATCACCAACTACGATCAACAGTCCTTATCGTTCTTATCGTCAGCTGAGAATTATTGTCGCGAGCCAATAAATAAAGCAAGGTAAACAGCTTATCTCGTCAAGTCCGTGCGTTAGGGCCATTAATCAAAAGAATAAATTTCCAGTGGGAAGGGCGGAGGAAGAGTTGGAAGGTCAATTATAACGAGAGCTCTCGCGGATCAAGAGATCAGTTATCGAAAGTCGTCGACGACGTGTCGAGGCTACGCCGTGGCTGAAACAGTGTGAGAAGTGTCGACGCTCGAATTGAAAAATTACGACGATGAAGCACGGTGACAGAAACGCGGGGGACGTTTGGAAGGAGAAACGGAAACTGAGGAAATTGTTGGAAAGCTGTATCGCCGTCACATCGACGCGAGTCTTTCCAACGAACGTGACAACACGATATCTTCTCCGTTCCCTTCACAATTTCCACGTAAACTGTACTCGTAAATTGTAATTGTCACTGCCACCGTTCGGCGAACAACTTTTCATGCTGGAAAAACCTTTTTTTTGCCACGTCCCGTCTAACTTAATCTCGTGACGATGGATTTTTAACACTCCTGTCATCTGCGACTTTTAACAACTCTTTCAATTAAATGTTTAGACTGTTACAATTTCGCAAAACAAAATCGTGTACTAGCAATGATGACAACGATAATGATAAATTTGTTTTAAAACTCCAAGCCTCCACTTTTTAAATGACGAATAAATTGCCATAGTGCGTAAGAACATTGAGAAACTTTCCTCTGATAGCTGAAACTCGAAGTACGATCTTTCTCGCTGTTTGTATTGAATTTTCAGTATTACGTTTCGAAAGACTAGGTTCGAAAAATTCTCGTCAGTAAAAATATCGTTTTTCAAAAAATAAGAAAATTCCATCGAGTAGCATTTACTTTTTATAGTATGGTTCTATTTAAAAAAAAAAAAAAATAGATTTTATTAATATTCAAAGTGCCACTACTGTCAGAGTGGAACGTTAATTTCATGGAGTTTGCATACAAATCCACGATCTAATAATTACTCCGACCTATGTGATACATATTATTATCGCAAGTTAGAGCAGGTTTGACTAGTTTGCTCTACAGCTTCTCCAATTTCAGGTTTCGTTTTATTCTTGATATTTATTTTCGATGTCGTGCTCTGAATAATACGTACATGTTATTATTACACTACGTAAATATAGAGTTGGTAGATTTCATTGCAGTTTGTAAATGCCTGTTAGAAGTGTTATTCCTAATCCCATCCTCCATTTCCCAATTATTTTAATTATGTAAAATAAATAACAACAAATTCTGCAATGTCAGTTTATAAATATAAATCTGGCGGAGGTCTTACTTCGATTTGTGATTATCTTAGTTGTACAAAAGAAATAGCAAATTATATCTGACAACAAGAAATTTCAAACGAAGTTCCTACAAACTTTGAGAAATGGAATGTAAAAATCATAAGTTAAAAATATAAAGTATATAAAATAGATTAAATATCAAGATTTTTCTTTTGAAGAAAAAAATTGTCTAGAGAAAATAGATATATTTTC